TTCCATGCATTGTTCACCGACTGTGGCAGAAATTGCGAATCTAACATTTCTTTCCTTCCCCACAGAGCACCCCCGATGAAAATGAAAGCCCAAACGATGTCAGCTTTCGGCATATAACCGAAATTACGATTTTGACAGTACAGCTTATAGTGGAATTTGCGAAAGGTTTACCAGCATTTACGAAAATTCCACAAGAGGATCAAATCACGTTGCTGAAGGTAAGCATAAATAGCTTTTCTTTTCAAAACACATATCTATGTATATACATACGTCCACTTGCTAACATTGTTTTCATTTCAACTCCAATACGCAGGCCTGCTCATCGGAGGTGATGATGTTGCGCATGGCCCGACGCTACGATCACAATTCGGATTCCATATTCTTCGCCAACAATCGTTCATATACGCGTGATGCGTACAAAATGGCCGGTGTGGCCGACAATATTGAGGATTTATTGCATTTCTGTCGGCAGATGTACTCGATGAAGGTCGACAACGTTGAATACGCCCTCCTCACTGCCATTGTGATCTTCTCCGATCGGCCGGGACTCGAACAGGCCGAACTAGTCGAAGCGATACAAAGTTACTACATCAATACGCTGCGCGTTTATATATTAAATCGACATTGCGGCGATACGATGAGTCTCGTCTTCTTCGCCAAACTACTCTCCATACTCACCGAGCTTCGCACGCTGGGCAATCAGAATGCCGAAATGTGTTTCTCGTTGAAATTGAAGAATCGTAAACTGCCGAAATTCCTCGAAGAAATCTGGGATGTGCATGCGGTGCCACCCTCCGTGCAATCACATATACAGGCAATGCAAGCGGAACGCGAAAGTTTAGAGGTCAATTCAGGAGTCGCCACCACATCGACATCAGCGGCAGCCAGCTCATCGTCTGCCTCACCAACGGATATGGTCAGCGGTAGCGGTGGTAGCTTTTCGAATCACTCGCCCAGTTCAACAACTGGCACATCAATTGGCTTGAATGGTGGCCTATCTTCAGCGGCGACGGCGGGTACGTCGAGCTTATACGGCATGCCACTAAAGCAGGAGTACATCATGGGTCCAGGCAGCGGTATTGGCATCGGTGGCAATCTGACGCTTAAGTCTGAACATTTAATTGGTATGCAGCTATCTGGTGACCACCACATGATGGGCATACAATTGAAGCAGGAGCATCTAATGGGCGGTGGCGACAACAACACGGCGGCATAGCAGCACGAGCGTAAGCAGCAACAGACGCTGCTGCTCGGCAGTGGCAGACGTGTGATAGCCGACGACGACGATGTTAACATGGATGATAGCATGGACGATGCAATTGATGACGCTGATGTCGTCGTGGATGCGAGCAGTAGTAGAATTAGTGTTACTGCTATGAAGCGAGGCAGCGGTGGTCATGGGCTCCATTAATTAGCGGGCAAGCAGCTAATGGAAGAGAGGGATGGGGGACTAGGAGGGCGAACGGGATTATTGTTATGCGCAGCGAGCGTGGCACGCACATTTGTTTGATTTAATATTAAGCTTTTGTTTGTTGTTAAGCGGTGGGGAGTGAGCGTGCTGCGCAGTGCTGCATAGGCGAGCGGTTGGCACGAATGTTTGGCAGCTAGACAAGCTATTAAAGAAATTTGCAGTCATACATATACGTATGTATGTACGTGCATAAATATGTACATATGCATGTATGAATGGATGTTTGTGGGGTGTGTACATATGTTAAATTTTGTTGGTTTAACTACTGTGCAAGCTAAAACAAGAAAAACTGCAGTTATTTAGTGATTAAGTGA